AGTGTTACCTGCCCAGGTGTGACCCATCTTAAATTCAACTTGCAAGTGCACCTCATTCTCACGTTTGGACTTGTGGAAGAAGAATATCGAAGTTTTAGAGGGAAAACGATCTCGAGGACCAAACAAATTAACAAACCGAAATTTCCTGGGAATGGTTCTTGTCCATGTGAGACCAGAAGTTTTCAAATTCGCATGCATCTACGTCACGTGTACAGAGATATCAAAGATATTTTTGGCGGATAGCAGTTTTGGGAACCACTCAAGTTAAGAAGCTGGAATTTTACGAGGATGCTTTCTATCCGTATTCGATTTACGGATTTGAGATTAAACACTGAGGCAAGACTAGGCAATTCCGTAAACCTCTTTACTCATAATCAAATTGCCAAATAAAGTTCTTCATTCCGCAACGGTTCCGCTGAAGTTCATGTGGATCGTGCCGGCAAGCTGATTTTGACCATGAACTTCGAGCCCTAGCAGTCTCAAAACGACTGTTTAAACCATATCTGTGAATTTCACGCTCATGAAAGCGTATCAGGTGTTGGAGAATTCGTTTTATATACATCAGAAATAGCTTGCACTTGTTAGGTTCTCTCCCCAGTGGAGGCTTGCGATCAGGCGGTCTCAGGTACATTCTTCCATCAGTGCTCGAGAGCAAGAAGAGAGAAGGATGAAAGATACTAGAATAACGGCACATCGAATTTCATTTTAACTGAATAAGATGACAGCATTTCGTGAGTTTCCGTTGTCACAGTGTAATGTTATGCAGTGTGGTGTTGTGTGGTGTTTCCAAGCTCTAACCGAGCGGAAGAGTGTCCATTGGCTTGAAGAAACCTTGGCTCATAAGTTTTCTTGCCTTTTTTATTCAAACGCCCTTGCCGCATTTTTTATCCCGTCTCTCAAATGAAGAATTTAGTCGTTGTATGTTACTAGAAACGTTGTCACTAAAATTGTAGGCGATTCCTCCACCCTTACATTTTCAAGAGTATGAATCCCTGAACATTGAGTTACAAGTTTTGCTTATAGACTCTGTTTGACTAAGCATAGTATTTT